CCATCGAATTGCGGCAAAACGAACGTGCTCGTGAGCTTGCTCGAGAGTCCGCACGGTGTGCGTTTTGAGAACGTGTAAGTTTACTCGAAATCGCTGCAACAGCCAAAGTATTGGTATCTCGAGCGATTGTTGACATTGAAATTGGCTATTTCACGTTCTCCAACTGCAGCGACGTCGTTCCACCGAACGAGGCGCTCCCCAACTCGATCTTCGTCTTCGACGACGTTGCGTGCGACAAGCAGGACACGGTAAGAGAATACTTCTCGATGGGCCTCTTAGCGTCGATTGCTTCTATCTCTGTCAGATGTACGCGAGAATACCAAAACATCTGATACGCGACAACGCGAATCTGCTGATCCTGTTCGAACAGGACGGTACCAATCTGAAGCACGTTTACAACGATCACGTGAACACCGACATGTCGTATGAGGATTTCGGCAATTTGTGTCGCACCTGTTGGCGGCACTACGGATTCCTGGTGATCGACAAGGACAGTCCGCTCGACAACGGGCGATACAGAAAAGGATTTAACGAGTTCGCGGTACCGTAGCGCGATAAGTCAACGTCGATGTGCCACCTAGACAACATACAATGGACGCTAACATCAAGGATCGCGAGAAAATAGCGAAGCAGATCGCGAAAACAAGCGAGTCGATACGCAAGAAGCATCGCGCTTTGAAAACTGATAGAATAGACGAGAATATCGCGTTGGAGAGACGCTTTAAACCCATCGTCGAACCTCTGAAACAAATCGCCGAGCATGTCGTTGGCGAGGAATCGATCAAGAGAGAGACCGACGCAGCGACGAGTGTCAAGAGGAAAAAGGAAAGCGTGGATAGCGATACCGAAGATGACGACAAATGATTCAGAGTCGCGTCAACGCCTAAGCAAACGCCGTGCAAAAAGCAAAAAAAATGGAACGTCGCGTTACCCACGCTCAGTTCTGTGTCAGTGATAGAACCGCCAGCGGATGCATCGACGGAACAACCGATGGTACTACCGCGGGAGGATATCTTTGCGTCGATACCCTTACCTTCGCTCGAAACGACCGTCAGAGAAAGCATGCGATCGCGACCCCGTCGCGATGCGTTGCACAGTCAACTGGAGCCGCTCGGGCAAAAGTACATGGACCTGTTCCTCGGTCAGAACAGAAAGAGAAAAATCGATCACTCGAACGGTATCTATTTCGGCAACGATGGACGTTTGATGCTCGGCGACAAACAATTCGATCTTGAAAAGGCGATGCTATACTTGTGGACAACGTGAGGTACCGCGGCACGCCAGGATTATACGAATTGATCTTCATGAAAAAGCCCGATAGACAATTCATCACCCTTCCCG